GAGAGGGAGGAGAGAGAGAGAAGAGAGAGAGGGGAGAGAGAGAGAGGAGAGAGAGGGGAGAGGAAGAGAGAGGAGAGGAGAGAGAGAGAGAGAGAGAGAGAGGAAGAGAGAGAGAGAGAGAGAGAGAGAGAGAGAGAGAGAGAGAGAAGGAGAGAAGAGAGAGAGAGAGAGAGAGAGAATCCTTAACCTGTAAATAGCTTGTCAATAAAGTTAGGGATCCTTAACCTTGTCAAACCCTGTGTAAAAAAAAAAAAAAGAGAAGAGAGAGAGAAGAGAGAGATGAAGCTGGAGCCATCTGTGGGCCAGCATTTTCATTTGATCAACTGACGTTATCTCGTTGACATCATTATGCTGTACGAATGTGTTCCATACTCGAGTCATCCTGGGTATGTATGATCTCAGATGGAGTGATGTTCTGGAGAAAGGTACAGCCAGAGTGAAGAGAAAAGAGAGAGAAAAGAGAGAAAAGAGAAAATTGAGAGAAAAAATTGAGAGAGAAAAGAGAAAATCCTTAACCTTGTCAAACCCTGTGTAAAAAAAAAAAAAGAGAGAAAGAAAAAGAGAGAGAGAGAGCAGTAACTAACCTGCACTACCACCAAGTACTTCCTCTCCCTCAGCTGTGAATGGCAGCATGTTAAAGAAAAACCTCTTATAAATACATGACAAAGAGCATAAGTGCTCACATTAAAAGACATGACAATGAAGTGCTCGCATTTGAGTACAAGACAAAGATACATTCACCTCTAGGAAAATAACAAGGATACAACTCACTTCTAAGTACAGTACCTACATGGAAAATAAACAATACTTGTCACTTGTTAAGTTCACTAATTCACAAGTTATGCTGCTACACGTCTCATGAATTTGGAATGCATACATACACTTAACAAATTTTTCTGAGTATAATAAATTTTTCAAATTTTGATCCATGACAGGTGTCCCTGGCTTTATGTGACATGTGTTCCTGGCACATACTGCATAAAGTGAACTTCTTATAACATGTAAAACATAGGGATTAGTCCTAAAACTATGAATTCCACATCTGTTGACTAATGTTTACCCAAAAAGTAAGAGCTTTCCCAGTATATTTAACAGGAGATATCCTGTCTAAGGGCAATGTGTAAATATTATGCAGAAAATTCGGAGTTTGGAAATTAGGAGAAGGTGTGGAGTTAATAAAAGTATTAGTCAGAGGGCTGAAGGTTTTTTCGAGGTGGTTTGGTCATTTAGAGAGAATGGATCAAAGTAGAATGACATGGAGAGCATATAAATCTGAAGCTGTAGGAAGGAAGGTGGGGTAGGGGTCGTCCTCAAAAAGATTGAAGGGAGGGGGTAAAGGTGGTGTTGTGGGCGAGGGGTTTGGACTTCCAGCAAGCGTGCGTGAGCATGTTAGATAGGAGTGAATGGTATTTGAGACCTGACAAGCTGTTGGAGTGTGAGCAGGGTAATATTTAGTGAAGGGATTCAGGGAAACCGGTTATTTTATATAACCGGACTCGAGTCCTGGAAATGGAAAGTACAATGCCTGCACTCTACAGGAGGGGTTTGGGAAATAGGCAGTTTGGAGGGATATATTGTGTATTTTTTTATACGTATATAAATGTACTTCTAAACTGTTGTATTCTGGGCACCTCTGCAAAAACAGTGATTATGTGTGAGTGAGGTGAAAGCGTTGAATGATAATGAAAGTATTTTTTCTTTTTGGGTCACCCTGCCTCGGTGGGAGACAGCAGACTTGTTAAAAAAAAAAAAAAATTTAACAGGCTCATTCCCTTATAATTCTTACACTCTTTTATACAATCTTTAGTGCCTTTTCATTCTACCCACTGCCTCACACACTTCTTCCCACTCCCCCCCCCACTCGCATCTATTCTTCCTTAGCCCAACAAAATGTTATATCTATACCCAATGAGATCTGGTTACAGACCGGGCCGCGGGGGCATTGACCCCCGGAACTCTCTCCAGGTAAACTCCAGGTAATGCATAAAATTACTGCCTCTCTCCATCAATCTCTTTACATTAAGCTAATCTGGTTAATATTAACAATCATGGCAGAACATTGGAACTTTCTTAAGAAATATCCATGATCCCTTTGTACAAGTTGATAGTACCTTAATCAAGAACACTTACAATTTCGTGAGCCAAGAACACTACATTTATGCTCCCTCTGTACGAGTTGATAATGTACCTTATTCTAGAATACTGCCTACAAATTGTAGCAATGTTTATATATGGTTTTTTGTCCCACAAGGGATTTTCTCCTACCCCTATTGGTCAGTATCTCTCCTGCAGTGCTGATTTCTTCTCTTGTTCTTATAGTCTACTTCACTACTATTACTACTAAAGCAATACCTTGCATAGTACGGTTAATGTGTGTAAAAAAAAAAAAAATACCGTATTATGCATTTCAATACTGATCAAGGTATTATTATAATGTGCTTTAATGTAATGAATTCCAACAATACAATTAAATGTGTCAAATTGCAGAAATATTAGCTGTTTACTTAGTACAAATCAATGCATGCCAAACTCTTGCGCGCACACACTTTTAACTCTTTCAGAGTCAGTCCTGTTGTATCATGGCTTTGAAGCCAATGTCGTTGATGTAGTATAACATCATGAGCTCTGCTCACTCAGATAAGCTGTGAGTAGCAAATTTGGGCCTAGATATGAGAGAATGGGTCTAAGTGGTAAGTGTACACCATATAAAAAATATCCTGCAGCATGCAGTACGAGAAAAAAACTGACCATGTTTTCGGTTTTAAACAGCAACTTTGCAGTGTATTTTCATGTGGTTTTTATGGTTGTATTCTCAGTTTCTTGATCTCATTTGATAGAATGGAAGATATATAAATAGAGATGATTTTGATTAGTTTCGATTTTTGCCGATATTCCAGAGTGTACTTGTCCAATATGCGTCCAACTGGCCAGTCTAACACACATTTAGGAATGTTCACACTCCAACAGTTATTACAATAATGCAGTAGTCTGCATATAAGTAAATTTTCTATTCTTTTGTGTGAATAAAAATTCAAAATGAAAAGCAAGAGTAATATAAGAGAGTCCTGGAGACGTGACTAGGGAACAGAGGAAATGTTTATTTAGTGCCAGGAATGTCTACATTGTTTATTCTAGACCCTATTTTCAAATTGGCAATTGTTGAATTTTGTGTGAAATTGGCCAAATTACTGATTTCTGATCACTTTCTTTGGGTAGTTGAAATAGATAAATGGGCAGTTCCTTGTACTCATTTGATACAATAGAAGAAATACTAGTGAAATAGCTATGATTTTGGTCAACTGGAACAATGGAATTGGCCAAAAATAGAGTGTGAATGTGTAAATATCGCCAAGACCACAAACTCTGCGAAAGCATAATTCCTTAAGTTTTTCATCAAATTTCGTACTCTTGGTTTCATTACGTTTGGGAAAAGATTCTCTATGATTTCAAAAGATAATTTTTTTTTTTTAAATTCTTTGACCCTGTACTAAAGATTTTTAGTACAGTTGTATATAAACAATGTGCCATACATTTTCTTTTCAACAAACTGGCTGTATCCCACCAAGGCAGGGTGACCTAAAAAGAAAAATGTAAGTATTTCTTTTAAAAATTAGTAATGTATACAGAACGGGTTACTAGCTCCATACTCCCAGCATTTTAGTCACCTCTTACAACACACATGGCATACGGAGGATGGCTTCTTTTCCACTTCCCCACGCTGTACTATACATACAGTAACGAAAAAGATCATTTTTATTTTGAAAACTAGTTGAACAGCATATGTAGTTTGCACAGTTTTTTTCTTCTAATCTGAGATGATCTTTCCCAAGCTGCACGATATCTTCACAAACAGCTTCAATACGGGATTCAAAACTGGCAAAATCATTAGAACAATGCAGTGACGCATTGCAAGATGGCATCTTCTTCCAAAACAAACCTGTTTCATAAATTAAAATTTTGCTCGTCTTTGTAGCAATTTTCTTCAATCAATTTCTTTTAGATAATTAGGAAATCTTGCAGCTGCCTCATTGTCTGCACTGGCACTTTGACCAGTAATTTAAACATTATAGAGTCACATACACTTTTTAAAATTGTAAAACCAGCCATGATTTGCCAAAAAAAACTTTCCCCTTCATTACCATTTTCTTTTTAACATTGAATAGAGACTTGTTGCTTTACCTTGAATCATCATTTGACTTAACGGAATTCTTTTCTAGCTGCAGTGTTAAATACATAACATTAAAAGACATTCCCTACTATGCATTTCAGAACTATGATTTTTTCTAGGAAGTAGGTTGGCAGACAGCA